TGCTCTGTGCCTGGCACGTGTCTAGAAAGCAGCTTCTCTCTGGAAATATTTGCGGTTCAGTTTGCAGTCTTTAGCAAAACTTGGCAAAGTGTCCGCACCTTCCAGTGCGTTTATGCTCTGAAGGAAGGTGGTGAGCTGATCCCAGAGGGTTTCTCCTCTCCCAACAGGTACTAGCTGCTGGTTGCTTCCCCCTTTCTCTGACTGTGACCGGTCGCTTGGCTGGGTCCTCTCTCGACACAGGGGATGAGTGGCACGGCTTTGCTCCCTCCCCTCACCCTGAGAGCCCTGCTTCTTGATGTCGGCTTCTCTGGCTGGGGCACTGAGTTTGTCTGCTCTCAAGATAAATGGAAATATGTGGAAGGGAGTCCTGTCTTCCCCTTCTGCTGTTTATTTGCAAGTCAAGGTTGTAGTTTGAATATTTGCTTTCAGTGACAGCTCCAGCATGTGCTGGCCTCTAATTCTGTATGATCTCTGCCTGACCTCTCTGCACAAATGTTTGTGCTGGCACGACAGCGGGGATGGGAGCACATGTTTGGGTGTAGGGAGAGGACGGGATCGCTTCCTTCGGCCGCGGTGCCAGCTGACGTTGGCCAAAGGTCTTCTGTCAAAACGGCAGACTGTGTGTGCTCAGATAAATCGGCATGTCCGAGAGACTGCACTCGGCTGTGGCGTGAGGCTCCTGGGGAGGGGGAGAACCTGGAAATGGGAGGACTGGTGGAGGGCAGAAGTAAAGGGCCGGCCTCTGTTGGGGGGGCTGCTGGAAAAGCTGGGAGAGCTGGTGGATTGGGAGCCCGCAGCTGGCTTGGAGGATGCCAGCGGTGGCTCTGGCAGAAGGGAGAGCAGGAGGAGAAGGAGGGTGCTGAGCTGTAGGGACCCTCGGGGTCAGACTGTGGGCAGGGCAGTGGTATCGGCGGTAGAGATGGCAACCCACAGCCATAGAGCAGTGCGATGGCAATAAACGCGATGAGCGTGGTCAAAGAGGCGTGGGTAAGCTTAACTTGTCCCTTCTCCCGTGATATCTGGGCTTGTGAAGAAGTTGGGTGCCTCTATCTTCATCCAAGCTTGCTGGTGGCACACATGGTGTGTGACGAGACTGGGTGCTCCCTCTGTGCCCCAGCCTGGGCTGTAATTCTCTGGTAAGCACTTTTCCTTCAGGTGATGAGGTGAGAACTGAAGGTTAAGAGTCCAGCCCCAGGCCCCAGACTGATCAGGAGTGCAGCAGGTCTGCAGTACCCAACGGCTGGCCATCCTGGAGAAGACCTTACTGTCTGGGTAACGCGGGTGGATGAATGTGTGTGGTGTGTGGCAAGGAACGGGGAGCGAAATAGCACCATGTTGCTAATGGCTGAGCCTGTGAGGACCAGATACATTGTGGTACCCCCCAATCTGGCTGTGCTGTTGCTCTCTGGAGCTGGATTTTGGGAGCTGGGAAGAGGAAGAGGCTGGATTGAGGAGGCTTCTGAACTATCTACGTGCGGCAACGCGAGCTTCGGGCCGTTTGCACTGCTTCTCTGCCTAGCACAAAGGCAATTCCCCGTGCTGCGGTGTGTGCGTCGCTCTGAAGCTAATTTGCTTGATCATTTTAATAAATGTAGAAGGGACATCCCAGTGTGCGGGTAATGGGGCATTAATCCATGCCTAGCTGTGTTAACAGCACTCTAGGAAGGAATTAACACCAGGTAATTCATCGCCCATGCAACTCTCGCTCTCTTAATTATGGGATGTTTGGTTTAGGACTCCCCTTCCGTGAAGGCTGCTCAGCTTCTTCAGCTTTGAGGTGGGTCTCTGGCAGCTCTCAGTTTCCCCTGCCCACCCGCTACCAGTTTCCTCCCAGCTTCTCTGCTCCTGCCGTGCAGGTTCCCAGTTCCAGCAGCGCCGTGGTCGGCCTGACCATGGAGTTTAACCATGCAAAGACTTTCGGAGGCATCAGCTCCTTTTCAGTGCCGCTGGCTTGTCTGCTGCCCTGATGCAGGTGCTGATGGAAGGTTTCCTGGGAAGATGCCAGCCCTGTTCCCTGACTCTACTCCCATGGGAAGCCCTGGAGCTACAACGCTGCTTGGCTGCAGAAGCTTTGCTTCCCTGCTTCTGTTTGCATTTTTTGGCTCCCGAGAGTACCATATTCCTGGGGAGATGTACTTAGGTCTTTACTTAATCTTTTTCCTTTCTAGATTAGATGTATAATGTTATTCTGGATTTATTTTTTAAATATCCTATAAAATTACTGACATTCTCTTCCCAGCCTGTGTTTCCCCTCTTCTCAGACTGCAGCAGCTATTTTCCTGCCCTGGGAGAGACTGAGGTCCAGCTCTCTGCAGGAATTCGATGGTCGGGGCACTGGAGGCTTCATCCTTCACCATCTTTTAAGGGACTCGAGTTCTGTAGGTTAGAGCTAAGTGCCTAGCTAGAGTTTGGGTTTGTTTTGCAAACGGTCATTCGCTGGAGCTCTGTTTAAACAAACAGAGCTCAAATAAGCTTTCCACTTCAGTGCATTAAAATCCCTTAATGCATTAAAATCCCCTGGCCACGGTCGTTCAGGCCTCTGCTGTGCTAGGCGCTGTATAAACAGTTATCAAGTGCTGGTGTCTGCTGTAAAATGATCACATCGTTTGCTTCCCCTTGCTCGTCCGCACGTTGAGTAGCTTTTGTTAGGGGAGATGATACTTAGTCCTGACATTTGCTGGCTGTACAGCCAGCACCAAGGAGACCTGTAACTTTGTCCAGTTTTAAACTCAGGAAGATGGTTTTTACCCTTTTCTGCTGTGCAGCTGCAGCAGGAGCATCTTTTCCTAGGTAGGAAGCAGCAGCAGTTTTCCAACTGGGGAGAGCCCTGCAGTTACCAGGCAGGTAGAGAGCTGAAACCAAAAATCATAAGAAAAATAAGGAGGAGAGCGCTAAACCCAGCTGTCCCAAGTCCCTCTTGGTGCGGTAGCATCTTCTTCCACTGCCCATCACCTACTTGTGTTGGCAGGTGAGAAACACATACATTTGTGTCCTCTTGATCTCTCACTCTTTCGGCTACCTGTCAGGGGTGAATATTAGGAGCCTTGCTGTCTTCTCTTGGCATTGCGCTTTGCGATGGATGCCTGGCCTCCTAGATGTCCCTTTGCAGGGAAGGGAACAGTAGGGACAACAAGGGGGGAGTTTACCAGAGCTTGGAGCGGGGTCTCGGGACCACTCGGTACGTATATTTTGTCAGAGCTGCTGCCTCAATAAACGCAAATATCCTATTGAGGGTATAAAGTTATCAAGGGAGTGTTCATGGTTCTGGGCTTGTTTGTGCCAGGGTTACGGGCTTTCAGCAACTGGTTTCCCTATGTTTTTATCTTTTGATCTTCTTCTGGTTAAATTGATAGGGAATTAGATTAACCTGAAACAAAGCACTCTTGTGGACATGTGTAGGAAAGCACACGCAGTGAAGGGTGTAAGCAATTTTCACTTGAAAAGTGCAGATTAGCTGATCTGGCGATTTTTAAGGTCTGCCTTCCGCGGATTAGTTGAGATCAGGTAAACTGTCCAGAGAGGGATCACGGAAGGGATGGAAGGTGTCATAGCGTAGTGGGTGAGGTTCATGTGCAGTGTTTTGGAGAGGAGCCCCTTTCCTCAGCGAGCTCCTTGTGCTGGTGTCTCGTGGCTTTGGCCAAGTGTGGGACTCCAGAAAAGGCAATTTTAGTCTCATGTCATCCATGTGTGGGCCTTTGCAAGTGCTTTCATGCTGCCTTGTCCTTGGCACTTGATGTAACAGGGAGGGGAGCAGGTCGGTGCTGAACTGTGCATAATCTCAGCCCCTCTCCTTCCCGTACCATCACCATCACTGTACCAGCACCATCACCAGCTCTTTACACTTTCAGGGATCTTTTATTCTCAGGAATGCCTGTTTGTATCTCCAGAGCAGAAGTGTCAGCCTGAAAGCCACCTTGTTGGATGTGAGATTCTGTGTGGCTTAGGAAATCTCCAATTAAGGGGGCAAATTTCATTCCAGAGGCAAAGGGCACAGATATCTCCTCGGTTTCTGGCTCACCACCCAGGTGGTAGCTGGAAGGGGAGAGGGAGGAGAATGGCTGAGTGCTGATGGGATGCCCGATGAAAGCATGGGACACCTGATTCCCAGGTTGGAGGTGAGGAGGAGACAAGGACACCTTCAGAAAGCTGAAGGTTGTGGCTGCTTCTGAAATTTTCTCCGGCATCCAGATTTCTTTGTGTGGCAACTTCTACCAGCTCTCGTTAAACAGTAGCAGTTAGGAGCCTTAGAGAACCATTTCCTGCAGACTTGGAGCTTCAGTGCTGTGCTGGTAGGCCCTGAGTTCAAAGGAGTGGTCCAAAGGGGCAAAGTTACATCAGTAGCTTGGGGAGGGAGAGGCACTACTTACAAGTCAACGTTTGTACAAGACTGAGCGTGGACTGCCCATTTGAGCTGGGAAGCAGAGGAAGGATTGTAACCACTGGAGGAGCAGGTTTTTGAAGGCTGTCCTTTAGAAACAGCACGTGTGTGTTGGTGGGAAGCACCGAAGGGGTCTTGCGATGGCATGTGATTGTGTTGGCATGGCTGGGTGGATCTGCAGAGAGTTGGAGATCTACATGGCGTGGTGTAGAACGCTCCCTTGGAGTTCGAGAGAGCTGTGGTGGGCGCTGCTGTCCTGGATGCTGGGCAGAGCTCATGTACTGCCTGGCTGCTGCCCTTCCTCACACGGTGCTGGAGCCTGACAGCTCTGGCAGCTCTTCCCTCCATATGTGCTTGTATATTTATATACATTTTATAAGGCTCATCTGGAGCTCAGTTGCCTCTCTGAGGAGACCAGGTCCTCCCTTAAGTGACTTATTCCTCGGCTGGCCAGTAGGTCCTGAGCTTCAGGAAGAGTGTAAGTGTCTCAACTTTGTCTCCTTGGTGTCTTTCTCTCCTTTCCCAGGAAGAAACTGAAGTGAAAAAGAAGTGACTGGAAAAGAAATTAAGGAACGATTTGAAGGAACAGATTCATTTCTTAACAAGATCAAGTTTGAATTAAATGGCTGATAAACAGATCAGGTAACATTCTTAAAACATTTTTGAGTTATTGGTTGTGCTTTAGATTTTTCTTTGGAAGTCTGTCAAACTTAATCCCTTTTGTGATACAGGAGGTTGGAGGAAATCACCTGATCATCTCCTCTGTCCTTAAACAGTTCTGATTCCTTCTGTGCTCCTTTCTTACCTGCTGTTTTTTCCAACCTTCTCTTGTTTTCTATCTTTGCCATGTTGTCATGTCTGCTTTCTTCAGTTCTTTTTTCTTACTGCCTTTTTCTTTCTGCCCTCTGCTTTTTACCCTGCACGAGTCTGTTCCTTTTTGCTTCCTCTTTCAAAGGTCAGCTTGACCTGCTGACTTCAGCTTGCTGACATCAAGGGAGCAAAGCCAACTCCTCGACCAGTCGAGGATGCAGTGCTTGTAATTACAAAGTCCACGTTGATGCAGCCTTATGCCCTTCTTCTAAAGCCAGTCAATGCCTGAGTGATTGCAGGAACGTGCAATACCAAGAATAATTAGTGACACTTAAGTGCACAGCAGGAACTTAAGAGCGTTGGTCCTGGCATACGCAAAGGCTGGATTTGAGTCCTCCCTGGAGATGAATTGGGATGCGTTTTCTGGAAAGATACGGTTGTACCTTTATCTTCCTAAGAGCTGGGTCAGATGGATCTGCACAGTCCTGCACGTGGATTGAACTTTCTCCTTCATGTGGAGTTGCCCCAGATAAATAACTTCTACATGCTATGGGATTTCTGTGGGGTGTTTTGTTGTCCTCTTCTAACATCTGCTTTTCCAGGTTACCAGCTCAGGACAGGAGGGGTCAGTGGGTGAATGAAACCTGGTGACAGAGGGCCAGGACTTGGCAGTGCCTGAATGCTACAGGCAAGGGGTCTGCCCCTTCTTAGCATATGCCATGATTAGGATATCTTCTGCATGCCTGCCTTCTGCAAATGAAAAAAGTTCTGAGCTGTGCTGATAACAGGACAGCATTGTGGAGTGTTTATGTGCTTAGATTTACCCGTCATCGGTTACCCAATTTGGAGAGCACTTGGCACTCTTCCCTTACACCCATGAAGGCCACGCTGAGATTCACCGCAGCGGAGCCTGGCGGGTGTATGCCCCTGGTAGCCTCAGCAGAGTAAAAAGGACCTGATATCTGTGGCCACTTGAAGCTTGATATTTTGAAGGAAGGGGAGACACGTCCTCCAAGATCTCCCCCAGCCCCTCTGACATGCTCTTGGCAACGTGAACAGGAGTTTGCTGGCTACAGGGACTAGTTACAAGGGCTGAGGATGAGCTCTAGGAGAACCAGGATACCTTTCTATCCCTTCTTGTGTTAAACTGAACAAATGGCTTTATTTGTATGCTAGCCTGTGGTGTCCCCGTTTCACTGAGCCCTGTGCACGTAGGTAGTGAGAGGCAGTAGCTGTGCAGAAGCTAAATATGGCAGAGAGACCAGGCACAGTGGATTCTCATCCCATGAGGGAACAGAGAGCACTGAGGTGAAAAGTGTGATGATGTAGTCACAAGGGAAAAAGCTTTTGATTCAGGTGCAATGCCCTCTGTCTCAGGTTTTTCTCTGTGCCCCAGATCCCTCACCTCTCCCGCTTTGGTCACTGCTCCCATCTCTGTGACCACAAGTCTGCAGCGGTCACAGGCAGCCAAGCCAAGGACATCTATTTAAGCTTGGAGGATTTACCGAACCCCTATTCCCTTGCAGCGTGCATCTGTCGTCCCTTAGCAAAATGAGATTGATACCAAAAGACTAAAATCCACAGCAGCGGTTTGCTGCAAGGTGAGATCAAGGGTGATGCATTTTTGCAGCAGTGCACGTGGAACTTGATCTCAGCTTCTCACTGGATACTGCCGTGTGGTCCATCTGTACTACTTCCCTCTGGAATGTGCATGGGGTGATCTGCGATGGTTGGATTCAGGTGCGATGGGAGTGTTGAGCAAGGGTTTCTCACCCACAAACAGAATGAGAGGCTCTCCGCAGCCCACGTCGCCCAATTTTTTGGCTTGCCCAGGCACATCAGGCGATTCCGCTTTATTGCTGGGGTCTGTGCTGAAATTGGGGAATCTTTTGCACTTACAGTGCCAGCAGGCAAGATGTTTGCCACGTATCTATGTCTCACTCCCACTTGATATAAACCCTGTGATGATTTCACTGTTGGAACAGGTTGAGAGAGGCAAGTGTCTGCCTGCCCTGGGTGTTTCCGGGACACTTAGAGAAGCGATGACAGTGCTGGGGCTGGAAAGGGACACTGGTTGTGCCTTGCAGTCTGAGACCTGCCAGCAGTGACTTCAGAGCTGAATTTGGGGAGGCTGGTGTGATCTTGTCTTGAAACACCCTCCTTCCCAGTTGTGCCTTCATCTTGACACGCTCTTAGCTGGTCTCTAATGTCCTCTTTCAGTGTGACTATGGGTTAAATAAGGAAAGAGCCATCATGTGAAGCTCACTGTTTGAAATTTTCCCATGTCCTAAGAACGAGTTGAGCGTAGGAGTTTGCAGGCAAATCTATTCCCTTCTCAGACTGTGGTGCAAAGATCCCCGAGGCAACAGAGTCTCGAGCTGGTGAAATCTTGCCGCCTGGCCCTGTGCTGAGCTCATGCGCTGATTTGGGCCTGCCTTCCTAACGTACTGTACTTGATTTAATCTCGGTCAGCACCGTTTTATTCGGGGATGTGGGCTAAGCTCAGATCTGTCTGTCTGTCCTTGGCACCTCTTCTTCCAGCTGTGCCAGCCCTGGGGCTGCGCGTGTGTGTTGTATCGGTGCAGGTGTTGAGGAGGAAGGAGCTCTGGCTGCAAGAGAGCTGAGGCTGAAAGTTTCCTGGAGTGTCAAGGTCTTGCTTAGCACTTGTGGGCAAAGACTTTTTTTTTTTCTTTTCCCCCCACCCCTCCTTTGTCTGCTTCCCTCAGAGAGACCTCAAGTTGAAACCCTGAATTTCCATATCCTGCCTTTTCCTCAAGCCTGATGCTGAGAGGGAACTCTTTCAGCATGGCTGTTTATTGATCATCTCTGCAATTGCCCCTCCATGCAAAGTGCTCTGTGATGCTGCCGGGGCGGTTGAAACGTGTTTGCAGAGCTTCACCCCACCATGCCATGGCCAGCATCACTGCTGCTTCCAGTGGGTAATGCAGTCTGTGCCCTCATCCGGAGCATTGTGTCACCGTCACAATAGGCAGCGTGCCTGTTCCTACTGTGGGAGGACTCAGCCTCGTTTGCTCAGACAGCTGCAATCTAGAACTGCTGTCAGCTCTCAGTTTAATATCCAACACAACCTGTATTCAGGGAGCCATATCCTGTGCTTTATTGGAGGGAGCTCGCTCAAACAGGCTTTCTTTGTCTCTGTATGTAGTGGTTTATCGAGCATATAAGTGCTGGACATTTTTTGTAATTGAATTTGCTGGGAACCCATGTTTAGCTGATCTAGCTTTCACTCAGCGCCACTTGCAGGAATTCCCTGTGGGAACACAAAGGCGAGTAGAAAAAGCCCCGCATTTTGGAAGAGCATGCAGCCAACCAGGTTTTAATTTCCCCGAGAGGTATGAGCTCACGTCTCCGCATCTGCGGCCGTGCAGGCTGCCAGTCCGGTGGTTTTGCCGGGCTGTTGGTTTGTGTGTGTTCCCCTCGCCCCAGGGCGATGAGTCTGGAAACAGTTTCCTGGAGCTGCAGCCGTCTGCTGCTCAGCTGCCAGCTGGGTGCTGCTTCTGCTGGGCTCGTTCCCACATGATGGTAGGAGCTGACGTGTCACGAACCCCTCATTAGATGCGTATCTAATTGCGGTGCTGAAAAGCATTTGCCAGTAAACCTGCTGGCTTAGATGCCATCAGGCCCTAACTGAAGTCTATCCGCGTGGCAGTACTCTGTCTTTTCTCTTCTAGGGATAACAGAAACCTTTGAATCTGGGGGAACGGGGTTTTTCCTTGCTCTTAGCGATGTGTGGCTTAGCTGTTTGGCTCTACTCTGCTCATCAGTGGTTTGTCCTGATGCTGTGTGCTGCTTTCCCCTCCTCACCTGTACGCACAGCAAGGGCCAAACTTTGCCTTGAGGCAGGGCTCCCTTCGTGCTGGGGGGGCACAGCCTTGTCGCACAGCGATGTGTTAACTCTAGTCATGCAAAAGAGCTCCATTCTTTC